GGTATGGGGCCTGGGGATGGCAGAAGGTGGCTGGGGGATGGGAAGGAGATAGGAACATTGTGAGAAGCGAGTGCAGAAAAGAGCGAGGTGGGGTTGGGGTAGTCAGTCCTGTAGCAGTTTGCAGGCCTCTGCTCTCCAGCCACACTCCAGATAGTGAAGAGTGCAAAATGTTTGCAGTGTTGTGTTGTTCCTAAGTGCCCTCCATCCATTTCTGACTCAGTGACCCTGTAGAGGGTTTCTGAGGATAGGCTTGTGGGTTTGAACCATTGACCTTGTAGTTAGCAGTCCAGTGCTTATCCTACAGCACCACACCAGGAAATGTTTGGATAGACAGGGATACTTGTGGAGAAGGAAAGATGGACATTGGCTGGGAACAGAAGCCCACTGTGCAGAGCCAAGCGTTCCTGCAGGAAAGCTTCAGGTCCCTCCTATGCCCTCCGATCCTCAGTCTTCCACAATAGGACTCACATCAGTTGACTATCCCAGTGTGACGTGGACCTCTCTGTTTGCCAGCGGGGTTTCTCCAGGCAACCTGCTCACCCCAGGTTTGTGCTCCATGGGGCTTTCAGTGACCGATTTTGTGAAAGTAGATCCCAGGCATTTCTGGACTAAATAGCCGCCACCCTATCAGTTAGTTGTTAAACGCTTAATCATTTGTGCCACCCAAGGGTTGGGAACTGCTGCTCCTTCCTAGCTAGTTCCTGTCACTGCTCAGAAGTATTTATTGATACCCTTGCTTTTCAAACAAAATATGCCTAGGAAATGCCAAAATCTAGCTCTCAGAACAAAAACGTAAGTAACCAAATTACAGCTGCAATTTATTTAATGTAATAATTATGCCATTTTCAATGAATACAATTTTTGCTCATTTAAATCCTACATTCATATACTAAGCCCTAAAACGTCTTGGTGAAATTATGAAATTAGTAAATTTCTTCCCAAAACTGTTAAGCCAAAAGAGAAACCACTCTATTATTTCTCATTACATATCTGTATATTTGGAGGCCTGGTATGGCGCTATAGGGTAAGCATTGCAGTGCAAGGTTGGTTTGAACCACAAGGCCGGCAGTTCAAATTCAGCAACCACTCCTTGAAAACCCTATACATAGTAGCAATGAGTCAAAACCTATCCAATAGTACATAACAACAACAAATCTGCATCATTGTTTATCTAATTAACCTAAAGAGACACTCTGCATATATAGAAGAGATCTCTTTTAGATGATATGCTCTAGTAACTCTTGGGCTGAACCCTAAAACTCTTCAGTCCAGTAAACCCCATCCATCTGGACCACCTTCTGTCTTTCCTGTGCTGTTTAACACAGCGACGAGATTGCTTGGCATTCGCAGTGACCTTTTGCAAAGGGGCTGGCTCTCTCAGCCTCAACTTCTTCATCTGTAAAATGGGAGGTATTATGAGGTTTGATTGAGTAATGATGCAAAACCAGATGGTTAATGCTATTTGATTGACTTTATTTTCTCCTGTCATCAGTATTGGTTTCTGTTCTTTAGTTGTTTAAAAAGAAGATGAGTTGGGGCATTTTAGATATCACACATTTCTTTTTCATTTTTAAAAATTACTTGATATCTATGAGGCCCTTAAAACCCTTGGTGGCACAATGCTTAAGCACTCAGCTGTTTAATGGCAGGTCGGCAGTTCAAACCCACTAACTAACTGCTTTCCCCAGGAGAAAGATGTGGCATTTTGCTTCCATAAAGATTACAGCCTCAGAAACCTTATGGGGCAGTTCTACCAATAGGGTCTCTATATGAGTCAGAACCAGATGGGTGGCAATGGGGTTTAGGTGGGTACTTTCCAGAAAGTTCTGAGGGGAAAAAAAGGGGTGGGGCTTTTTGCCTGGGGGAATGCTCCTGATTGGGACAAAAGTCACGTTAGGAGGAGAGGCATGACCACTGTAGTCCTAGCAGATTCAAGGTCTGGTTGGAAGCTTTAGGGCAAAAGTGCAAAGAATATCTTTGTTGTTGCTGTTATTAAGTGCCGTCAAGTTGATTCCGACCCATAGTGACCCTGTATAGGGTTTCTGAGGAGCAGCTGGTGAGCCTGAACCGCCGACCTTGCAGTTCAAATGGCTTTGCAGTCTGACGCATTAGCCCACAGCACCACACCAGGACTCAATAAAACATCTAGCAAGGCTTATTTGTTGATAGATGTGAGGTAGTGCTAGTCCTTCTTACTGATTGAAAACTATGTCATGCACATACCCACTGACTTACTGCTGTCCAGTCAATTCCAATTACTGACGACCCATAGGACAGAATAGAATGACCCCTGTCACACTGCCGAGGCCGTACATGTTTACAGAAACAGACTACCTCAATCTGTCTCTGTAGGAGCGACTGGTGGGTCCAAACCATCAACCTCCCAGTCAGCAGCCCATTGCTGAATCCACTATGCCCACCAGGGCTCAATCACTGCCAAAAGATAATCTGAATTACAGACGAGAGAGTTTCAGGATAAGGCCTACTAGAGGTCAAAACAAGAAGAAATCTAAAATCCAAAACACAAATTTCAAGCAGAAAACGGAGGTCTTTGAATTAGAGGTTTGTTTTGTTTTGTTTTTATCCAGCTAGTTCAGTGGCTTGTTACTAAAAGCCCACTGCTGTATTGATGGCCCAGACCTGCTTATAGAAAGTATTTCCAAAACTATTCAAAGTCCCCCAGTTAAAGTTAGTGGGGAGTGAGGAAAGGGCTGAATGTGGGTGGAAGGGGCAGTGGATGACAGGCAGCACACCCCCCTCCAAACACACAAACTCTCATTCTTAAGAACAGTGGTACCAGCAGTACCACTATAACATCCACAATCCACTGCCTCAGCCACTGAAGGGTCTGCTCTGTCTCAAAGACGGCTATTTAAATGCAGAAGAGTTAACACTTGTTCTCTTCTTGACCGATTCTCAGCCTTTTCTTTTCTTAATAGCTGATCACTCTGTATAAATAATGAATTTTTAATCAAACTGGTTACGGGTTTTCAGAGATAAATATTTAATGTATTGTCTTAGCAGCAGTACTACTTAAGAAATGGGATTCAAACACCTCTTTTTACTTTGAACTGTCCTAAGAATAATTTCCCATTCACACATCTAAAATGGAAAAGGCAGAAATTCATTTTGAAAGTATCGATGAACTATATAAGCTTGTTTGTTTTTAATGGAAGCTCAGTCATTGAGGCTAGCCCGTGCAAACACAGATCACAGGGCACAATCCACATTGCACCCCAGAGCCAAAAGAAGTGGCATATGTAAGAGGAAGGAAAAGAATTTGCAAGTTCAAGAAGATGCAGCCACAGGATGCAACCTCTCAGGGATTTCTGCCAAAATTCAGGGAAATACTTTCTTAAAGCAAAAAATTAATGAGGGCAAAAATAGAAAACAGGAAAGAGAAACAACAACAAAACCCATCCACAAAACAAGGGTTTTTTATACTCCAAATTAGACCTGTCACAATTCAGTGATGGAAGAGTCTTGGCATAGATGAGGTTCTATAAAATGCAATTCTTCACTCTAACATTAAATATGTTGGGCTGAATAATGTCATCACTCAGTTCAATTATAGCATGCAAATGCCACAGCATTTCACCTTCCAAAAACAGAAGCAGGGTAAACAGACACGAATGTATATTTAATAGACATACATTTGTTCTTTTGAGAGATCAAAAAGCTGCAGATTAAAAATAAGTTTCCTTGTCACCTCTGACAAGGGATGGTCTAATTTCAACTGTCATTTGGGCTCCTGGCCCTAAAGGAAACAAGAGTTTACAAAAGGCGGAAATTCACACTTTGTTCCCAAGCCCTTTCTTCTCTTCTTGGATCCTTCATCTCCAATCTCTGTAATTTACAAATGCCAGCCTGTTTGCTGGAGTAAAATCTCTAATTCTGCTCCCTCTTTCCTCCCTTCAACAGCATCTCAAGCATGGCAATTTGGCATCAGAATTCCTTCCCAGTCCTTCTCAGGAAACACTTGACTACATCCAACCAGTTGCCAAGGCAATTCTGATTCATGGTAACCCCATGTGTGCAGAGTAGAACTCTGCTCTCTAAAAAGTTTTCAAGAACTTTCAGAAGTATGTTGCCAGAACTTTATTCTAAGGTGTCTCTGGGTGGTTTTGAACTACTAACATTTTGGTTAAGAGTTGAGCACTTAACCATTTGCTGCCTGGGACTTCTGGGAAACACTTTTGTTACTGTTGTTGTTAAGTGCCCAGTACAGAGCTTCTGAGGGGTGGCTGGTGGGTTTGAACAGCTGATCTTGCAGTTAGCAGCCCACTGCTTGAACCCACAGGACCACACTAGGACAAGTGAATTAGGACATGAGTTTTCTGTGGCAGACTCGTGTCTACAAGCGCAGGTCTAAAATGGAGATAACTATTGTCCAGTTTATAAATAACTGAGAGAAAACCGACTCAACTTCTCACCAGTTCTTCCTATCTTTTTGTTTGGTCTGGTCAGCGGGATCAAGGCTGAGCTGAGCTTGACCAGACTGCAGGGTGCTCCCAGCACCCAGAGCACAAACAAAAGCTCCTAGCTGGTTATCTCCCGTCATCATTTGCTTTCACAGCTGTCGGCACAGAAATGAAACCAATTAGCTTCACTGAAAACAAAAGACAAAACATGGAATGTTCACGGGCAACTGCTTCCAATTGCTTGGAGATAGCGCTTCTCTTTACTGCTGCTTGGAGTGGAAAAGTACTGCTCAACCGGCATTCACAGAAGATTGCAAACGGCAAACGATGTGATACAAGAAGAAGAAAGGGGCCCAATTCTCCGGAACTAAGTCAACACACACACAGGTATCTCTAAGCATGAGCATCAAGTAAACTGCTTTCTGAGTCTCCAACTGGATGGGCTACAAGAGTGGAAAGCATGTCACTAAAAAAGGACAAAGCAATGGACTTTACAGACTCCTGACTCCACCATTACATCCTTGTTTAAAGACCAGACGGAAACCATAAACATGCCAAAGAAGCCAGAAGTGTGCTTACCTTGAAGTTGTGCGTCTTTTCATAGTTGAAGTGGTTGTCATTGTGCGTGAGGGCAGCCCTTCGAACCAAGGAGGAGATCTGTGAACAGGCAAAGAGTTTGAGAGGGGGCCAAAGAAAGCCACCTTTGACTCCTACCTTCACCCCCAACGCCACAGCCAGCAGCTCCTGGCGTCTCCTGCCTGGTTTAGATTTCCGAACCACAGCACATTTTTTCTCATTGTCCAGCCACAGTTCCCGGGAGAACATCCTGCCTGGATTAGCCCAGAGCTCTCTGGTCTCCGCTGCTGAGTCTGGGAAGCTGGGTGCTGTCAGGTGGTTGGGTCTGCAGCTAATGTGTGGCAGCAGATTTGAGGCAGCTGTGCCCTGTCTGCGGAGGCCTCAGGCATGTGACCTTAAAGGGCCGGGGTGAGCGATGGAAGGAGCTCTGTATCTGAATAAGGATGGGCCTGTTTGTGCTATTTCTTAGGTTGACATGTGCCTGGAACAATAGCACACATTCATGTGCACAGCAACCCCCAGAAGTTGCATCCAGTTAGCCCCAGCTGATTGGAGGGGGCAGGGCAGGCGTACACACACACACACACACACACACACAGCCGCTGATGTTCAAAGCTTGATGCTGTTTCCAATGACTCTGGGCTCTGAATCTCATCCTGCATTGACCTCAAGCAGATTAAATCATTCAAACTCTGATGACTATTTAATTTTATCGGGAAAAAGCCTGCCTCTCCTGTTTTTCAAGTGCCTCACCTCTTGAATGTGTAATTTTTTATTCTCCTAAACCACTACCACTGACTCTGTTCCCACTCATGGTGGCCCTAACGAACAGAGTGGAACTGCTCCTTTAGGGTTTCCAAGGCAATAAATCTTTGTGGAAGCAGATGCCTCATCTTCCTCAAGTGGAGTGGCTAGTTGTTTTGAACCGCTGACCTTTTGGTTAGCTACTGAGTGCTTTAACCACTGTGCCACTGGGATCCTTTGTTCTTACGTTGTTAAGTGTTGTCAAGTCGGTACTGACTCACAACGACCCTGTATTAGGGTTTCCGAGGAGCAGCTGGTAAATTTGAACTGAGGATCTTGTGGTTCCCAGCCCAGTGCTGACCGTACAGTAGCACACCAGGAGTCCTTTATTTTCTTATTAGAACAATCTGAGCGCTGAATAAGTCACCAAAGAAGAGCAGAGCATTTTAACAGAGTTTCAAAATAAGAGCACGATGTCTAGCCCTGAGACAACCTCAGTCTCTCTTCTATCCTCTCCTCTCCCAAATAACATACCCCTACTAAAAATACAAACAAGGTGCTATTCTTTAACTAAAACCAAATCACATTCTTTTAAATAGCACAACTTTAATGTCCACTCAGGTCTATACACATACTCCCCCTTTCTGTTAAAAGCATCATTTCTTTGATGATCTCCCATGGGACCATGAGCATTTTGGCCCTGATCTTCCTATTAACATGACATCTTGGGAATACTCCTGTTCTGCTGGAATAATATAATACAGGTAACACCAGATACCACCCCTTGTCTGTCAGTTTGTTGAACAATGGTGGTTTGTGTGTTGCTGTGATTCTGGAAGCTATGCCACAGGTATTTTGAATACCAGCAGGGTCACCCATGGTGGACAGGTTTCAGCAGAGCTTCCAGACTAAGACAGACTAGGAAGAAGGAGAGGCGGACTACTTCTGAATGCTTGTTAAGTGCCACCAAGTCAGTTTTATAGGGTTTCAGAGGAGTGGCTGGTTAGCGTGAACCACTGATTTTACAGTTCAAATGACCTTGTGGCTTAGTGCCTATCCTACAACACCATGTCAGGACTGAAAATTTTATGAATAGCAGTGAAACACTGTCAGATAACCCTAGAATACTGAATGTTGAAACACGACGAAGAGCATCAGAATATTGTCAAGGGAAGCGGAGCCCCTCAGGTTGAAAGGTACTCAAAATATGACTAGGGAAGAGTTGCCTCCTCAAAGTAGAGTTGACCATGATGACGCCAATGAAGTAAAGCTGTCAGGACCTTCATTTGCTGACAGGTCACAACTTAAACAAGGAGAAAGCATCAAATTAATAATCAGAAAATGGAATGTATGAAGTATGAATCTAGAAAAATTGAAATTTGTCAAAAATGAAATGGAATGTCTAAAGATCTATATCCTTGGCACTAGTGAGCTGAAATGGACTGGTATTAGTCATTTTGAATTTGACGATCATATCGTTTACTATGCTGGGAAGGACACATTGAAGAGGAACGGGGTTGCATTCATCAACAAAAAGAACATTTCAAGATGTATCTTGAAGTATAATGGTGTCTGTGGTAGGATAATATCCATACACCTACAAAGGAAGACCAGTTAATACCATTATTATTCAAATATATGCACCAACCACTACAGCCAGTGATAATGAAATTGAAGAATTCTACCTACCAATCTCTTCAGTCTGAAATTGAAACAATGAGAAAGTATCAGTAGCTAGAAAATTTGACCTTGGTGATAAAAACAATGCTGGAGATTCCATGATAGAATTTTGGATGACCAATGACTTCTTTGCAAATACCTTCTTTAAACAACTTAAGAGACAGCTATACACATGGAACTCATTAGATGGCATGCACAGAAATGAAATTGACTACAGCTGTGAAAAGAGAGGGTGGAAACACTTCATAGCATCAGCCAAAACAAGGCCAGAGTTCAGAGCATCAATTGCTCATATGCACATTCAGGCTGAAGATGAAGAGAATGAAAACAAGTCCACGAGAGCCAAAATATGACCTTGAACATTTCTCACCTGAATTTAGAGATGACTCAAGAACAGATTTGATGCATTAGACACTGAGGACAGAAGAGTTGTGGGATGACATCAAGGACATCAAACAGATAGAAAGCTAAAGGACATTAAGAAGAAAAAAAAGAAGAGAAAGACCAAAAGATGTCAAAAGAGACTTTGAGACTTACCCTGCAATGTAGAGATGCTATTGCAAATGGAAGAAATGACAAAGTAAAAGAGCTGAACAGATCATTTCAAAGGGAAGCTCTAGAAGACAAAGTCAAGTATTATAATGAAATGTGCAAAGACCTGGGGTTAGAAAACCCATCGGGAAGAACACACTCAGCATTTCTCAGTCTGAAAGAACGGAAGAAGAAAATCAAGTCTCGACTAGAAATATTGAAAGATTATCTGGACAAAACACTGAATGATGCAGAAAGCATCAAAAGAAGATGGAGGGAATACACAGTCACTGTAGCAAAAGAAAGAGAAATAGCATATGACCAAGAGCCAATCATACTGAACACGAATAAGCCCAAGGTACACTGAAGGCACTGGCAAAGAATATGGCTGCAGGAATTGATGGAATACAAATTGAAGTCTTTCAACAAACTGATATAACACTGGAGGCACTCACTCATATACCAAAAAATTTGAACGACAGCTACCTGCCCAACTGATTGGTAAAGATTCATATTTGTGCCCATTCCAAAGAAAGGTAACTCAACAGAATCTCAAAGTCATTGGACAATATCATTAATCATATGCAAGTAAAATATTCCTCAAAGCAATTAAAAAATGACTGCAACAGTACATTGCTAGGGAACAACCAGAGGTTCAAGTTGGATTCTGATGAGGAAGTGGAACGAGGGATATCACTGCTGACGTCAGATGGATCTTGGTTGAAAGCAGAGAATATCTGAAAGATGTTTATCTGTGCTTTATTAACTATGCAAAGGCTTTTGACTGAGTGGATCATGAAAAGTTATGAACGACATTTCAGAGAATGAGCATTTTGGAACCTGCCTATAGACCAAGAGGCCGTCATTTGAACAGGAACAAGGGGGCACTGACTGGTTTAAAATTAGAACAATTTAAAAGTTGTGTGTCATGGTTGTAGTCTTTCACTATACTTACCCAATCTGTATGCTGAGCAAAAAATCTGAGAAACTGGATTGTGTGAAGAAGACTGTGGCATTAATATTGGAGGAAGACTCATTAATGACCTGCAATATGCAGATGATATAACCTTGCTTGCTGTAAGTGAAGAGGAGTTAACGTACTTACTGACAAAGATCAAAGACCACAACTTCAGTATAGGTTGCACCTCAAAATAAAAAATAAAAAAAAAAATCCTCACCATTGGAGAAATAAATAACATCATGATAAATGGAGAAAAGATTGAAGTTGTCAAAGTCTTCATTTTGCTTGGATCCACTATCAACATTAACGGATGCAACCATCAAGAGATCAAAGGACATATTGCATTAGGTAAGTTACACAAGGTCTCTGTAAGTGCTGAAGAGCAAAGATGTCAGTTTAAGGGCTAGGTATGCCTGCTCCAAGCCATGGTATTTTCAGTAGCCTCATATACATGTAAAAGTTTGACAATGAGTAATGAAGAAGGTAGAAGAATTGATGCATTTGAGTTACGGTGTTGGAGAAGAATATTATAAGTACCATGGGCTGCTAGAAGAACAAACTGTGTTGGAAGAAGTACAGTAAGAATGCTTCTTAGCAGCCAGGATTGTGAAACTGTCTCTTAGATTTCAGTTCTATTATCAGGAGGAACCAGTCCCTGGAGAAAAACATCATGCTGGGTAAAGTGGAAGGTCAGTGGAAAACAAGAAGACCCCCAAAGAGATGGATTGGCACAGTGACAGCAGCAATGGGCTCAAGCTTAACAATGACTGTGAGGATGGTGTAGGACCAGGCCGTGTTTTGTTCTGCTGTGCATAAAGTCGCCATGAGTCAGAACCGACTTGATGGCACTTAACAATAATATGACAATGAAATCAATGCTTTTGAAACTAGAAGGCAAGAAGAACACAGATATGGCGGGACAATTCCATAGATAGATGGTCCTTGCATTTCAACCACCCTCTACTTAGACATGGGTCCATGTTCCAAGCCCTACGTGGAGCTTTGTGGAAAGCAACAAAATGATATATCATATCCTTGTATAACTTTCTTCCTGGCAATTATCATCTTTCCAACTGGGTTCAGAAGTCCATCTTTCTCTTTCATTCTCTTGTTGCCCTCAATAATAAACACAGTCATTTTATATTGAGTTACTGAGTTCAATAACCTTTGGTATGCCATATGCTCCTCAGAATGTATATAAAACATGTGTAAAACCATGTGCTGCCAGGTCAGTTCTGACTCATGGCCATCACTTGTGTGTCACACTAGAATTGCACTTCATATGACTGGTTTTTCAGCAGTAGATCACCAGGCCTTTCTTCTGAGGTTCTCC